AGGTGCGGAGCTTTAGCACTACTCAGCCTGCACAATTGCCAAGAGATGCTAAGCAGGCTGTATCTCCACGTGATGCATCTTTTCTTTCAATTTTGGCAAAAAAATTCGAAAGCAAAGCAATTCAATTTAAAAATAATAATAATTCAAAAATAACGCATTTATGTTTATATCAACTTTTTTTCGCATTTTTGGATTCCCGTTCATCCGAGTGATTGACCTCGACTTACAGAATACTCTGTATAATGAAACAAAACGATTGTGTTCGACTTTGAATTCGCAGACGAGATTAATAGCGCCATAGAGGCAAATTTTAATTAATAAGAGCGATTTCAAGAACAGGACGAACGCTCGTAGCGAAACCGACGTTACATCGAGGTCGAGGCGATATTTTGATTCCCCATTGTGTCACGTAGCGCGATGTTATAACAAATGTGAATGTGCACGGCACAGTGTTTAACGATTGCGAGAGAGGCATCACGGTGGTGTTGTGCAAATAACGTGGGCGATTTACGTGGGTCGATCCCTCGATCCGAAACGGCGCGCTGTCTCTCTCTCTCCTGCTACGAACTTCTCGACCGGCGAGGAATGAAGAAATCGAAATTCGAGTTTTTCCCACGATACTCGCTTTCTCGTTGCAAAATCGAAAACGCCACGCACTAAGTAAAATTCACTCCTAAGATATAAACAAAAAAAAACGAAGAGAAAAAGAAGGAAGGAAAGAAGCGTAATTTATTTGAAGATCGTGACCGATCGTGTGTTTGATCGATTACGCGGAGTGGAAAGCGCGTTTTGAAGTTAATTAGCGACACTTAAACGTTTCACGGAGTCGACAGAGTAAAAAAAAAAAGGAACGAGAGAGGAAGAGTTATTTATAGAATTTTCGAGGTCAGCGCGACGCGAGGTGCGCGATATTCTTGGCGAGATCGACGTAGCCGATTATTTGGATTACGATCGCGGAGATAGAAGACAACGATGGCGCGAGAGAGACGATCGCGTGGGAAGCGATCGGAATCGCGTGGATCCTTATAGGTCGGGGAAACGAGGACGAGGTGCGCTACCTGGCCGGCTTTGCCAGGCGCGAAGCTCTGTGAAAGGGTGCGCGCTAATTGCGAAAACCAGGTAGCCCGGTCGGTAGCTCGTCGTCGTTGTTAACACGATGCCTCAGAAGCGGCCTTAATTGTTCGCCCGGTTGGAGTCTCGAGTCCGATCCGCGTGCGGCGAGCTCGCCTAGAAAATCTCATCGGGCCGCGCGAATGGAAAGCCTAATCGAGATATGACGAATAAATCTCTGCCGCCGTAGGATTTGTGGCGATCGGGAGAAGCCGGCGGTGTGTGACGTTTGTTTGTGCATTCCTTCGAAGACGCGCGTAGAAAATTGGATTCTTACGCGTCCGTGCGGAAAGTTAATCGAGATGACGAATGAAGCCGTAGGAGATGCGACTACTTCGGTATGAATCCTGTGGGAATTAGGAAGCGTACGGCGTGACCTCACGTTCATCTAGAAAGTGTTACTGACGCGTGAATGAGGAATCGGTCGAATTAAATCACGGGACGAAATCGCGTAGGAAATCCTATCGAGCGAAATTCTAATCGGAAAATCGCGAACTCGTAAAATGCGTTTATTCTTGTGATAATTGAAAAGTTAATTGAACATCGTTCTTCTTTAACGCGCGTAAAGAATTTAATCGCTGCGCGATTGGGTAACTAATCGAGACAGAATGATGATGAAAGATATAAAACTGTAGAGTTTTTATAAGTTGACAATATTTAAAATATAAATGACACTCGAAAATTGAATTAACTTCGCGACTTAAATCCCGTGTAGAGAATTTTTATCACGAAAAATTAAATTATTTTTAGTAAAATTAAAATTTTACTAAAAATTAATATGAAATATAAAAAATTAATATTACATTAAAAATTATTACTGTGAAAAAGAGGAAGTACGTGCTTATTGTAAATTTAGGAAATTGGAAAAAGCATCGTGACGACACGAGAGAATATTCAGTTGACAGTTGACTTCAGCGTAGATTTACGCTGATTAAGAAACCGTTGTGACACGCGTGTTTTCCTTAGCCGGAAGCTGCGTATGAATCGCAGTGCGAACTTGCCGCGTGCAGAGACTACGTGAAGAGAATCCAGTTACGCGTCTTACCAACACCACACCGTCATGATGGTCGTGTCACATCGCGAGTCCAGCATATCGTCGAACATACGGGCGATAATCGAGCAGCTGAATCTGAACCCGGTGGAGAGGCGACGGCTGATCGACAAGACGAGGCAGGGGAGCAACGCGCGATGCAAGAGCTTCCCGGACGGGATAGTCGAGCCGCAAGCACCCAAGATCACAATCGGGGTCTACGGTTGCAAGGACCGGAGCACCGAGTTCGAGATACCGAGTCCGATCAGCAAGATCGCCGCGAGCCGCAAAATCGAGATCGAGCGGTCAAGATCGAAGGCGGAGACGCGACAGAGATTGTCCACGCAGAAGAGGGAAACGATCACCGCGTGCCAGGAAAGAAAGAAAGAGGCGCCCGCCACGCCGGTGAAGAGAGAATCGCGGGTGGAACACGCGAATGAGGTAAAACCGACGATATCGATCGCGATCGTGCGATAGGATTTGTTTACCGGGTGCTCGCTGCGTCGGTTGAGAGATAAATCGGCCCTTTATTGGTAATCGTAATTTAATATTCGCGGAAAGAGAGAAAAAGGAAGACTAGTTCCTTTTTTTATCTGCGATGAAGAACTTAAATTGATAATAGATTAGTATATCTGCATTCTGTATTTATATCTATATTCTTATCTTACGTTATATAAAAATATATATATATTAGTCGGATTCTACTTGAAGCGTTACTTTAGATACACAATTTTTATTACATAATATTACATCACAAATTAATCGAGCAAGTCGACATTGCAAAACGAGGCACATTCTAAATTTCGATGGCGGATATTCCGATATTTTAAACGCAGCGGAATCCCATTAATCAAATCTTCGTGCGATCGTAGAATCGGGAAGTTTGATCGAGCGCACAAAAACTCGATGCCTAATCTAAATTGTGTGGAAACTCAAGGGCAAATTTGAGTGCCAGCCGGTAGTGACGATCGGATGCTTCGTCAAGGATACGTCTTTTAAGAAGGATACGTCTCCTAACAAGGATAAGAATCGAGTGAAGACGACGGTGCAGCCGGTACAAACGTGGATCCCACCGAAAGGTCAACGGGCGATCAAGAGAGAGCACGTTGCTCGAATCGATCTGGGAGCGATCGAGGTAATCGATCGATAAATAAATAGGGATTTTTAACGAACGATTACACGCGTTTTAACACACCGACGTAACTATTAGGCGTTTAATAATGGATAATCGTTCTGTGTACGATTCTTAAGGACGCGGACGCATCGACGGTGTCGATCAAACCATTGTATAAGACCGAGGATCGTCTCAGATCGAGGCAATCAGATACGGGCGTCAGGATCCATCGAGCTGCGAGGGAACAGCCTCGCGTCGAAGACACGGTCGAGGTAATCGATCGACCAATAACGACTACCCCCTTTAACGTTGCCTCTAAACACGTTAAATATGCAAGGAAAAATTAATCGAATGTCTTACGTTTAGTCTATCGAATAATAAATTTATATCTTTTATGGGGTTAAGCTTACACTTCTTCTCGAAGTATCGTCAAATCGAGAAGTAAGATTTTTATTAAATTCAATAATTAAACGAATGGAATAGGAAATATTTACATTATATATATGTAATAATTAATGTATTGAAATTATTAAAAATATTACAGTTGATTTACACGCTCTCTCTCTCTCTC